TGGGGGGGGGGGGTGTTATTGGTTGAGATATTTTGGGGGATAATGAGATAATTTTGGGGATTCTATTTCATAGTGTTATTCATTGGGACAATGAAACAAGGATAATACCTTTTTGTGTTATTGGTTTTTTTAGAACACTAGTGAGACAATTACACCAATTGGGATAAAATTAACCCACTCATATACAAAATTTTTGTCCCAATAGTAAAAATTTACCCCATCCTTCATATTGGAACAATGTTGTTCCACTTTAAAGGCAATTGGGATAATTTTAAAATATTTTTGTATTACTTAACTAATACATGCAATTATATTATAAATATATGACATGATATATAAAATATAACATATATTAATATTTTAATAACATAATTTAATAACATAATTTAATAACATATATTAATAATATTATATAATAGTAATTATAGTATAACATATTTATTATAATATTATATAATATTGTAATAACATATATTAATAATATTATATAATAACATATATTGATATTTTAATAACATATATATAATATTTTAATAACATATATTAATAGTATTATGTATAATAAAATATTATTATAGTTATTATATATTATAGTATAACGTATTTATTATAATATTATATAATATTTTAGTAACATATATTAATATTTTAATAACATAATTTAATAACATATATTAATAATAATGTAGCATACTAATATAATGTTAATTAGTAATTATTGTATAACATATTATATTTTTGTATAAATAAAATAATGTATTATATTAAATATTATATTATTAAAAAATTATATTAAATATATTGATATTATATTATATTAATTATTATATACAGTGTATCATGCTAATATAATATAATATAATATAATATAATATAATAGTAATTTGTAAGTATAGTACAATATATTATATTTTAATATAAAGTAAAATAATATTTATATTATAATGATATACTAAATAATATACTAAACCAATTGGATAAGTTAATTTAAAAGTAATTAATAGATAAAATTATATTTTAATAAGGTGTCACATCATCAATTATCCCACATGAATTATCAAATTAAAGGCTTAAATTATCTCATTATCCCACTTTATCCCACTTTACCCCACTCAAAATATCCCAAACGGTTAAAATTATTCCATTCGAACAATTTTTCCACTTGGTCCTAATTTGTCCCAACTAATAACCCCCCTAAAGAGCGAAAGAGAGGGGAAAATAATTTAAAAATAATTTAATAGATATGAATACAAAGTTAATATAATTCAAAAATTAGAAATGAAA